AGCTGTGTCAGTAAATAACACATTATTAAAATCAAAAGCTATGCTGTCATTTTAACTTATTATTTCAAATTGAATAAATTTCCGCTATATTGCGAAATTTTCATCCAAAACTTTTTCAGCAAAGTATAGCCAAGACTGACTAAAGACTTACAACTGATATTAACATTTTTCTGCGACGCAGGTTACTCGTAATATTAAAGGGGTGAAAAACAGAAAATCAACAAATCACGGATGGCCCATTTCCTTGATCTTTCATTTATCTCTGTTTGCTTCTAGAAAAACACTGGTTTTATTAATAAAATTACATTTCCTTTTTTTGGATGATTAACGATATTTAACACTCGATGGGTTTGCTTAATTAGCAGAAGACACGAGACGAGTGAACTTATAATAATTCCACCTAATTGTTGATGAAATACCAGAATTTATTCATTTTGGAAAACGTGACATCCTGATTTCTAATTTCACACTTAGAGCCAGATTACTGTGTCTTTAGGGTTTCTTTAGATATAATGAAATTCAAGATAAAATCCTTGGGTGTGAGAAAGAGCTTTTGACCGGGAATCCGATGTACAATGGAGTTCAGCCGGACGTTTTCTACACGAATTCGTAAACTATACTAATCAAAAATAGGCATAAATGTCTCCTCACCATTAAAGGTTGTCCTCAGGACGTGAGGACACGCGACATTGCCAATAGTGGCTCGCAGCGTTTTTCTTTCGCTTTGAGACATGCGGTGCTTTGATAAAACATTTGATTTCGAGAAAATTTACATCAGTAGGATTATGAGAACAACTTTCTTAGAAAGAAAACTTGCACAATCTAATATAAATGCGCCAAAACTTGGAAGTGGCTACGGGACTTCAATAGGGTTAAACTGTAACGGACTGCCGAATGGGAAGTAAATACTGGCGCACGGTTTATGACTCGTCAAGAAAAAGTAAATAGGTGAATGATATCGCTGCCACTGGAGAACAATCATGAAATTTCAAACAATTCCCTTTCTCAGAAAACAGTTTTTTTTTCCTGTGAAACCGTTCACAATGGTTTTAATGTGCTCAGCGGAAGATTGCGTATAATGATCAACAAAAGAGTCACAATAGCATGAAAGGAAATCGCAAGTTTGGCTCTTAAAGCCTTCAGATGAGACTAAATTTTTCATCGGTTATCCAAAGGCGCAATAGTGTCAATTTGTAATGAAAAGATACGCTAAAAGGCAAATTATTACGAAGGCGGGGACCCTTTCCTGTACAAGACATTCAAATTTTTATGAATGACCCGGGCATATTATTACTGATGAGTTTTTGATCTCTTAAACTGCTGGTTTAACTCTTCGTTCCCAGTCTCCAGCAGTAAAGGAAGAGGTTTATAACACAAGAGAAATTGTCAATCGCATGGTAACTGTGCGATGTGTTGTAACCCTGAATTTCCACCAAAGTAACAGCTACATCCTATGTAAGGAAGCAGGATGTAAGTGCAGCGCTCTGTTTACTGTTTGTCTGTACTAAACGATATTGAAAACACTCCGAACGCAACTATAAAAACCCTTTTTCCCTTTTTTTTACGACTTTACACTGTGATTGATTAATATTTTCAAACATGTTTTTCTCATTGCACTAATTCAGTTAAAACATATGCTTACAAGTGTACTTTCTCATAATAATCCTACTGAGATCTCTCTATTTATCATAGTCACAGTGACAAGCAGGTTTGTTGCGTCAGGTTTCACACACTGAGTGCAAAGAAACAAAACATTTACTGTGTGATGTACTTTTACCAAGTCATATTTTCTGTTACAAGCGTGTTGCATGTTCTCCATAGAATTTAGTGACTGACTCTTTTCCCTAAACTCCCCTTTTTCATTCGGGACCCATTTAATGGAAGATGTATCACTCAAAATTAGGTTAAAAGGTGTAGTCAAAAGAATTTTGTCATAATCTCATGGTTCTCTCCAGTGAATGCAGCTCGAAGGTGGAAGTTTGTGGGAAATCACGAATGCAAGGCACATTTAATACTTCTACCCGGTGCAGCTCTAAGCAAGGTACCTTTTCGATGTTACTTTTCCCAACAGTTTTAAGTAAATCAAAGGACAACGTACTCAGATACCAAAACTATTGCATAAGTCCAGTGCGCGATCTAGCTGAATAAAAGATTGAAACGTCTTATCATGGTTTTCACTACTTGTTTTACTCCTTGTATTCTCCAGCAGTAGAGGATGGGATTCAATGATGAATTAAGTAAAACAAGAGAAATTGCCAAACGAACAGTTAAATTATACGATGAGCTGTAGCCTCGTGTGAGTGCCAAAGCGACAACTATTCCGTATGGAAAGTAACACGCCACAAGGGCAAGCTGTACGCACAGCGCTGTCAACACAGTTTTTCTGTATTTGGTAATGTTGAAAGCCCTGCATTGTTCATTCGGTTGGCGTTGATGAACACTCCGTTGCACCTCCAAGCGACGTTTGCGTAGTTTAAAGTAGATGGTTAAATAGGATAAAGCAGAGATGACTAAAGTGGAGTATATCAAAGCAGAAATCACATTGGAAATTAAAACGTACCTCCAAAACCTTCTCAGATTGGAGAGGGAAATGTTCAAAAGCCAAAGGCTTACGATCATTGTGCGTGTTCGCCTCAAAGTAACCACATGCCTGTAACTTAATCCCAAAAGAAGAGCAAGAAGCCTGTCCAAACTTATAGCAGTTAACGTACACAACGACACTCCACTCAGTGTTGTCCCAACGATTTCATTAATGCTTACAAGTGTGTGACAAAGTTCCAATCGTTGCTTTGCCATCGACAACAACTGAATGGCGTACAAAGGTTGAACACACGCACCAACACAAAAATCAGTCATAGTCAGACATTGAAACAGGAGTCTGGATGCCGGCTGAAGGAAAGAAACTCTTCTCAGAGCAAAAAAGACCACAATATTTCCCATAGACGCTGAAATACCGAGTAGAATGTTTATAGCTGTTAGCACAAACAAGTATTGGTCTCCCTTTGTGGAGGCAGCACAAGTCACGGACTGTATTATCTTGTACATTCCATATTTGGTTACATTCTCCATGGTAAAATTTGTTGTCCTCAAACTCAGTGCTTTATGAAAAGGAAATACGTATTGAAAATTTTTTTTTAGATTTTGCAATCGAATGACCTCTTCTGATAAGACTCCGAAAAGTAATAAAAAAAACCCTTTAGATATATTTTCTTACAACATTTATTTACTCAGCGGTGACAATGAACGACACGGTTAACAGTTAAACTGAAGGATAAGAGTTCACTTCAAATGAATTGCGTATAAAATGAAATTTTCAATGGATTGTGAAAATTTTGCTGCAAAAACTGTTTTGGGGAAAAGAACCCAGCTTAGAGAGGAGCCAAAACACACAACTTGTACTGATGCTTATTTTGAATATTTTTTTCTATCGAACACATTGGAAAATTGATAAAAATTAGGGGAAGGAAGTTTTCTTTTGTAAGTAAATATGTGTTGATTAGACAGTTGAAAAATAACCAAAAACCAAATAAATTGTCATTCCATATATAAATTTTTATCTTTCCCATATGTGTCTTTATTTGTCTTTCTCATAAAAACGTTGGTTCGAGCATGGTTTGTTCATTTTCCAACACTCAGATTACAAATTATGAAACACAAATCAAGAAAAAGACAGACGACTTTGATTAAAAAATCGAATTAGTAAAATCTCTCGTCTAAAGAATGATTTGTCATCATGCTAAACAAATACGATTTAGCTAACAATTAATTTGGGGTCCGAGGAAATCAGATGTTGTTTCCATTAAAATCATTTGCACGCGAAGTAAAAGGGAGAATTGTTTTTACCGCTATAGACCCCGGCGGATGGCAATTTAAAGGTTCGAGCGGAGGTTTAGGCCTTTTGCAACATACTTGGGCAAGACGGTGTACTCTCACATGGACTCTCTATTCATCCTAGGCCTAGTTGTTCAAAGGGCGCATAACTTTATCCAACGGATAAATCGCTATATAACGGATAAGTGGAAATAAAATGGAATATTAAAAACTGGATCATTGGATAATGCAATGCAAGACTTTTTATTGGCTTAGCCATTATGGTATATCAGCCAATATACCATAATCCAGGAGCCCATCACGGGGTCCTACATAATATCTGTACATTGTACAGATATAATATCTGTACATAATATCTGAACATAATATCTGTACCTAATATCTGTACATTGTAACATCCGGTTTCCTCTTACAAAATAAAGTCGAGAAGATTTTTCTAATATCTTGGAGGGGTTTTTTTTAAATAAAATAATTATTCCACACGCGCTTGTTGGATATATGATGATAGATAGCGCGTAGCGCCTCGTTGGCTATCTATCATCTCATATCCAACAAGCGCGAGCGGAATAAATGTTAACTATACGCTATCCCCCCGGATGGAGATTCATCCAGTGGATTGTGTTATCCAGCCTTTGAACGACCGGGGCCTGGGGCAGAGATCGTGTAAATGGGTACTTAAACTTGGCGAATTGTTGGGTAATAGCGACACTTCTAGTTGCTTCATTCTGTTGAGACATAGTAGCAAAATGAGCTATCTGGCTATATAATATATGTTGACCTGACTTTTCTTCTTAAATGAAAGTTTATTTGATTCTCTTCAGTAATTGAACGTGTGCTATATTCTGTGGTTATGCCTTTTTTTGATAGGTTGTCTCATTTTAAGATTCTATCGTCAAAAATCTCTCTCCCCCTGTTAAATAATGCAAAGTAAAAACCAAAGACTGTGAAACGAGGGGAATATATTTAAATCACGCGAGATTAAAGGAAACATGTTTTTAAAAAAAAAGTACACGATTTTAGAACTCTTATGTGACAATTGAGGCTGAAAATAGCCTCCTTTCATCTCAAGCTGTCTAGGTAAAAAGGTTCTCATGAAAATTTCAACTAACATGATCATTGGCAAATCAAATGCCGTGACGAAGATCATGATAATTAGTGTATTCTCTTCAAAAACAACCGCGATCGAATAATAACGCTTCTGACTGTCGGTCGTGTCATCCAGCCAAGAACGAACTGGGCGACTGTTGGGTTTCACCACTGATTGAAAAAGGAAAGTTATCGAGCTTGCTGTGACAATTTTTCGACTCTACAGACAACAGTAAAGAGAAACAATTGTCGCGAAAGTTTGTCTCGGTTCGATCGAGAAGTAGATTAGCAACTTAAATCTCTGGCCACAGTGGGTCGATGTTTTCGCTGTGAACTGCTAACTGAGATGGGTCAGACAGAAAGTCGTCGGTGTAGGATTTGTGCTACAAAGTTAAACCCGAAGAAAAAACAGGACATGGAACAATCACTGTGTTCAAAGTAGGTATTCATTTCAATTTGAATAAATTATTGTGAACGTAGAGAAATTTGTGATGTTTTGATTATTTGACATGTGGATAGTTTGAGCCACGAATGTCGTAGAGTTTTGCTTAGCCCAGTCTAGTGTGTAAAAAAATATATTTTTCGATACTGGGAAAAAAAAGTCTAGTTTCTAACCGCTCTATATAAAGCACCTCTACGGCAAATTCGAAATGGACAAAATTTGGCTTTGAATCCGCTTGAGCTACTCTTAATCCGTAAATAGGTCCAACAGAGTAATAGCAAAAATCTCATTTCCGCAACAAAGGAAATCATTTTTACTTTACTGCTAGACCAAAGGATCGACAAGCAGACAGGAAAGTTCAGATCTCTGCTAGTTGCCGTTCTAGTGACCGTAGTTCTAAATTTCTCGTATATGTGGAGTTGCATTGCAAGTTAAATGCGGACAGCCAAGTTGTCTCATTTGTCGGTTTCCAATCGGCGAGAACATGCATGTCGATAAAAAAAATATTTCATAACTCATCTTGCACTGTTTATATATTTCACTCTGTTTAGCTTTTTTTAGCATAAACAACGAACCAGCTAATTTTGAAATTAAAAACTTTATTTGATAGGTTTTACGTCAGTTTCTGAAGCGCTGAAGATTTTCGTTTTTCTGCTTTAGTGAATATTTAATTATTTTTACGCCATGTAGAACGAAATTATTGTTATTGTAAATTGTGGTTGCGTTAGGGAGATTACGAACTCTGTATTCAACCAAGTCGAGATGATTTCGTCGGTAGGAAATTTGTTAGAAAATTATATATTTTTGGATAGTTTGAGAGCTGTTAAAATATGTATACATTCAAAATGTTTGGGCTGAATTGTAACCACCAAAAGTCAATTCCGAAAAAAATCTAAAAGAGAACTACTTTATCCGCAGGTGTAAACATCTTCGAGGCAATTACAGTATGTCGTGTTTCAACATTTTGGAGGGTTTCATGATTATGATTTCGTTGATTTCAAAAGTTGACCGAGTTATGTGTATGTAAACTGTTTTTGCCATAGCTATTTCTTATCCTCTTGTTTCCCCTGACATAGTTCACAATGATTGATATTTGTATTTCTTCTGATGTAGAAGTGTTTCTGGAAATCCTCTTTGAAGTTTTATTTTGCTTTGATTTGACATTTGCTCGATAATTAGAACACTAAACCTAAATTTCTTTTCTTCATTTATTTTAGTATAAGACAATTTTTTTGGTCACAACACATGAATGATTAAATCTTTTTTAAACAATTGACGAGAGCTCTAGAATCGTCCTCAAGCGCCAAGTATTTAGTGTAACTATACTAGGATCATCTTTGCATGAGAAATATTCGTAATTTAACTCCGAAGTAAAAAAACCAACCAGCCACCATCTAACAGATATCACAGACCATAATATTTCGTTATTTGTCATCCAAAAAATGATTTGTGGCTGTTTTACATGATAGCTATCGTAAGCGGGGGTAGCACTCTGTTTCACGGTCTGTGTCTAGGTTTTTAGAAAAAACCGCCTCCGGTCAGCTCACTTGGTTGAGTGCCGGACTGTTGTGCGGGAGGTCGAGGGTTCAAGCCCCGGCCGGACCAACACTCAAGGTCTTAAAATAACTGAGGAGAATGTGCTACCTTTCTATAACATCAAGAAATGGATAGACATACTAGTCTTCTCGGATAAGGACGAATAAACCGTAGGCCCCGTCTCCTGCATCTATAATTAGTTAATTTGGTTAGGCAGGGGACGTTAAAGAACCCACTCACGAGATTACTGTGA